GCTAGGACAGCATATAAAAAGCATCATGCGTCATATTAAGGGATTTAGACTTCATCTTGTAGGGAATGGGGATGGAGTCATAGTTTGTCAGCAAAAGAGTGACACAAATAGATGTGTTTTAGAAAGATAAGTCTGTGGCAGCGTGGCTTAGAGGGCAAGGACAGGGGACCACATGAGATATACGCGCGCCCCACGAGGAGCATACCTATTCTTTTTTCTCATGTTTTTTTTTTTTAAATACAGAATTTTTTTTTTTTAAGATTTTATTTATTTATTTGAGAGAGAGAGAATGAGAGATAGAGAGCATGAGAGGGAAGAGGGTCAGAGGGAGAAGCAGACTCCCTGATCAGCAGGGAGCCCGATGCGGGACTCGATCCCGGGACTCCAGGATCATGACCTGAGCCGAAGGCAGTCGCTTAACCAACTGAGCCACCCAGGCGCCCTAAATACAGAATTTTTTAAATTTAAATTCTATTAGCCAACATATAGTACATCATTCGTTTTTGATGTAGTGTTCAATAATTCATTAGTTGTGTATAACACCCAGTGCTCATCACCTCACGTGCCCTCCTTAATGCCCATCAGCCGGTTACCACCCCCCCACACACACACCTCCCTCTGTTCTGTAACCCTCAGTTTGTTTCCCGGAGTCTTGTGGTTTGTCACTGGCACTGAAATTTAGACGGAGCAAAAATACGAGACAGTGATGTTTAAAAGATTTTACCAGTTTCAAACCCCTCACCCCCAGCAGATGTGACATCCCCCCTCAACTTCTCCAGTGTGGGATCAGCTTACTTTTTGCCTGACTTGCCCCTTGCCACCACCACCAGCCAGTCGGATAGATGGCTGAAGTGGGAGGCTCCAAATGAGAAGGGGGCAGAACACTAGCTATGCTTCAGAGACATGTCGTCTTCCTCCCCTGCTTTCCTCACAACCAGTTAGCTCCGCTGATTGCAGGACAGATCCAGTGCTGCCTGCCCACCTCACTATTTATGACCCAGACTGTAGGGATTTTCAAAGGTGTCCTCTCCAAAATTGGCGCTGGGAGCTCCTTCCGGGTAACCGAGACAAAAAGCTGACTATGCTGGGGTGGGTGTTGCTTCTCTCCAGGTGTGGGCCTGACCCTAAGCTCAGCTTCCCACGGCACCAGGGGCTTCTCTGCCTCAGAAGGGGGGTCTGTGATAGCCCAGAAACCGCAAGTTTTCCAGTCCTGAGCAATCGGATGCAAAGAGAACATCTGTAAACAGCCGCGATCCAGCCCCAAGCTGCCTGGCACCACACCGCCCGTCTGCTTCCCAGTTAACACGGTCATTGCTCACCCTTGATCTGTGAAAAGGCAGATCCGCCTGGCACCAGCGCATCTCTGGTGGATTGATGACTGACAGAAGCCTGTTCTTTCTCTTCTGCTGTTTATCTGAAGCTCTTCCCTTTCCTACAAAACAAAAAACAAAACACAAAACAAAACAAAAAACTATCCCTTATCCCATGTCAAGTGATGTTGAGCAATTTGTCCCAAACCTGGCGCACGGCCAGTAGTGACCCAGATGGGACACAGTTGGCAGAATGCTGCACTGAAGAAATTAAGAAGTCATGAAATGTAGATGAAATAGCACGGGCTTTGAGTCTGGATTTGCATGCTAGCTCTGCTCTCCATTAGCTGTCTAATAGTGGGTAAATTTACCTTCCAGCCTCCATTTCCACATGTATAAAATGGGCAAAATTAATATCACATTCAATAAGATTGTGGTGAAAATCCCATGAGATAATGTTCCCAGTGCGCTTGGCTCCGCACTACTATTAAGAAGTTGACAATGGAGAAGCACGCTTCCATCCAGGCCTGATTCCTCCCTCTCCTGGGCTTCCTCTGCACTGATCAATTTCTATTATGTTCTTTGTTAGAAACATGTAACTGTCCTCCTGGTGATCCGTTTACCCCTCTGTGAATTGGCACACTTTAAGGAACTATTAGGAGTCACATACAGGTCACTTATCTGAGTGATTTCTCATCTGGTAGCCTTGTGCAACCAGACCCCAACCCAGACTTTGGAAGGCAGTGATAAGGGCCTCCGAGGAGCCAATGTAGGTGTTCCAAGGTCCACCCATTATAGCTCACACAGGTTGGGAGCAAAAGTTCCCTGGGTTTGGGATAAAAAGTTTCTGGCTTTGAAAACAGATTAATTCAAAACCCACTTCTACCATTTGTGTGACTGGGAAGTTGCTCACCCTTTTTGAGGCTCAGTTTCTTAAATTTAAATCAGGGTGACAGTATGCGGTAAGGATTAGAGATAATGTTCCTGCCCTGTAGCGGCTCCTTAATAACTGGGCTTCTATTATTATTTCTGTATGGTCAGGCTCCTCCAGCCCTTGTTGGGGCTAATAGTGGTCAGTAATGCAGTTGCATGGAGGCAAATACATTTGCTTCTCTGATCACTGAACCAGTAGGTTCAGGCAACTAGGAGAAAGTCTTCCAGACAGCAGTGGTTCTCAGCCCTGGCTGCACGTTAGAATCTAACCCTCCAGTGCCCTCACCACACCCTAGACCAATTACATCCAGGCACTGTGGCCGGGGCCCTGACATCAGTACCTATAATGCTCCCCAGGTGATACCGATATGCAGCCAAGGTTGAGAACCCCTGGGCTGCTTCCCCAGTGTCAGTGTGCATATGTAGCACTCGGGGAGGTTACTAAGACGCAGAGTCTGATTGAGAAGGCCTGGGGTGAGGCCCCAATTCTGAATTTCTAGTAAGTTCCCTGGTGATGCTGATGTTACTGAGCAACAAGGGCTAGAGGAAGATTTCTCTCTTTATCAAGGTATAACAGCTGAGAGCCCAGTGTCATAGGAAGAGACAGAAAAACTTTAATAAGATGGAGCCTTGAGCTCCAAAAGCAGAGTGGCCTGGGACTCTTTAAGCAGAGGCACGTAGCCCTATACTTCCTAGCAGTCCCAAGGAGTATCACTACATTGTAATAAAGTCCAAGTTGATGGTCATAATTACAACCCCAAATCTTTTGAGAAAAAAGCTACATTATGTGTAGGAGCATTGGTTTAAGAGGACTGGGAAACATCATATATTTTAGAGAATCTCATAACAAAATACATATCTTCAACTATAAGAGGTGAGCTTTAGACAAATCTTCCATGAAAAATAACCAATGTTGTATTGGTGCCAATCACTGAATTTACCAGAAGGTTGTCATTCAAAAGGCACCTGACACTCAACGCTACTCAAGAACTGAGACAGGAAGTATCACTGTTCCCAATTATTCATTCTCCTGTCCCTATAAAGGGATTATAGTTTCCCATGCCATTGACACAGGGATTGGCCATATGACTTTTTTGGCCAATAGAACGTGAGCACTTGAAACATGCTATGTGCCGCATCCAAGCAGAAGTTTCCAGAACCACTGCATGGTTCCTTTGTCCTTGCCACAAGACTCTATTAGGGGGTGCTCCTTCATTCTGGATCCTAGAATGAAGAAAACATAAGCAGGGCTTGCAGCTGACATGTCCAGGGGTGAAAAATAAGCATTGTGACAAACGACTAGTACATGAGCAATGCAGAGAGGATTGCAAAAAAACAGAAAAGATGCCATTCCTCCCCACATGCGCAGTGAGGGGGTTATGGTATGAAACAGAAAGTGAGAGTGGCCAGTAGTGAATATGGCTTCACATATGCAGATCCTGAAGGGATGTGTAAATGTGGGGAGAAGGAGAAAACAGATACCTCCTGGTAGATTTGGGGAGGTTTCTTGAAAAAACACTCTCTGAAATGAAGGGAGGGTCTGGAAGAAATTAATACAGTGAATTATCCTAAAAGGTGAGAGGGCTTGGGTTAGGTATTAGAGATGAAGCCAAACTTTAGAGTTAGATTGAAGGAGGAGGCAGAGAGGGACAAAGAGGGGTGAGGGCTTTGCTATAAAGAGTGATAGGGGCCCCTGGGTGGCTCCGTTGGTTAAGCATCCAACTCTTGATTTTGGCTCGGATCATGATCTCAGGGTTGTGAGATCGAGACCCACATCTGGCTCCACACTAGGCATGGAGCCTGCTTGAGATTCCCTCTCTCTCCCTCTCTGCCCTCCCCTACCTCTCTCCCTCTCTTAAAAAAAAAAAAAAAAAGTGACAAATTTTTGCCTATGAGAGACACCAAGCCTTCAAGATGCTTCTTTCCTGGTCTTCCTGATGAAGGCATCTGGGACTACTTTCAACATCTCTTCTTTACTCCCTGGAGGGGAACCATGGATCTGATTGACCAGACTCCTGGGCATTGATTTGACTTTTCCTTGCTCTTTCTCTGGTTCCATTTTCTCTGGTGCTGATGGATGTTTGTGATTAAACAACAAAGTCACTTAATTCTCTAGCCTAGGACAAATGAGGTACCCCAGGACTTAATCTAGTTCCCTCAAGTTGGCCCCAGGTCCTAGAGTAATAGCCCCAGCTGTCATGAAGTATCGCCTTGACCAACCATTGTCCCGTGCTTATATTTCCCTTGCACACCTCACCTGCAGGGAGAGATAATTAATGTGGGCAGGCTTCATGTATTCCTGTGTCCTCTGGCCAGAACTCCATCGTTAATACCATTTTAATGCCAAACCCCCCTCTGACTTCTAAGACTACCTATCTTGCTCATGCCTGCTATCCTTGTGGCTATCACCTGATGCCCAGAAAGATATTTTCAGCCAGAGTCAAGTTTTAAATAACTGTGTGCATGTGTTTGTCTTTTAAGAGCACCATGACATTTTGTAATTATGACAGTGGGGGGGGGCGTTATTTCCTAAACTTTCCTTACCAGTTTATCGGAATCCAAATAAGAACGTAAGACCTGAAAACAGGTGAACTCAGCTCAACAACTAAAGAGTACATGAAAAAACAAGTAAATCCCACAGAAGTAGAAATGGCCACAGGAAAATGACAAGTATGAAGAAAAGAGAAAGTCTTAAAATGAGAAAGTCAGCTAGGGACCAAATGACTTGAACGTCTCCCCTCACTTCTTTCCCCTCATCTCTCCTCCATTTGATGAAGCAGCCAATTTTAGCTCTTAAGATGCTTGGGCTGAGGTGGATGTTTCTTTGTGTTGCAAGTCAACGGAGGAGAGAGTCTTGCGAAATCATTTTCTTTCTCTTCTCTGCATGTAAAATCCATTAAAAGGCTGAGGCCATTTTTCTGCTCTAGAGAAAAGAAAAGTATTTACAAAGAAGGCAGAAGAATGTCTTCACACATGTACACAAAAGAGAAGGCCAATTAAAGCCTACAATAGGGGGGAGCTTTGCAAGCTTATTTCTGCTAGGAACAAAAACTCCTGGCCATCAACCAGCTTCCTTTAGACAAGCAACCAAAGCTGAGTCATAGGGATAAAAGACCTAAATAGTTGGTCAAAATTTGACATCCACTGGCTTGTACTCCCCCATCTTCCTGCAGGCCTCATCATGAAGGCACCAGATAGGATGGCCTAAGGGAAACAGAATTCTTCTGGTACAGCAGATATCTTTAATCACCCAGAGCCATTAGATCAAAAGGATGCAGTTTAATTCTGTCTCTGTTCATAGAGCCACTTACTTTCCCCTCTGCATCCCTCATTCCTTTTCTACTTTTCTATTTTCTGGGTTTCTTTTTTTAATCCTCAAAAAATAAAATCTTGCTTCCTTCTAATCACTACTATCTGTAATTAACAGGAAGGGCTTTCCTCCAATTAACTACTGTCCCCAGAGTAAGATGAGCATGTAGGAAGCCAAGCTGGTGAAGCATTAGGAGTGAAGGTAGGGCAAAACCCAGACTGGGGGGCAGAGAAAGATAAGGCCAGAGTTGAACCTGGGGAGAAGACCAGATCGGGGCAAGACTTGCTGGGGAGCACTGGGGCGCTGGGAAGGGAGCGTATCAAGTATGAGTCATACTTTATACCAGGCAGAAGCTGGGCTGCTATCTCATACCAATGGAGAGATCATTGTTATGGCAAAGGAATGAGGAGTCTGACCCCAGCTGTTGAATTCTGACTGCTGACAGCTTTTAAGCCTCACCGCTCCCTCTTCCTCTGGTGCCCACAGCAGCTGATAAGAAAGCCTGGGTGCTCCCTCCTTTGGTGGGGGCAAGGGATTCACACTCAGCAAGCCGGTGCCTATACAGGAACTCTCACTCCGGCTCTACTCCCTACCACAAAAAAAATCTCTGTGCTGGACGCTTTGTGTTCTTTCTCAGGCATCTCCCTTCCCTCACCCCACTGCTGCCTGAGTGGCCTGGCCTGCCCTGCCCTCCTCGAAGACCTCAGTTACATAACCCAAACCATTTCATACCCTCTTTGTGTGCGCAGGGGCCATTGTCAGTCTCCACATCTGAGTCTCCACATCTGAACCAAAGTTTGAGTAGGCATCTACCTGAGTCTGCGGGTAACGGAGAGTAGATCTAGGAGTATACTCTCATCATCCATGGTAATACCTGGTAATGACATATTCAAGCAAAACAACAACAAAACAACTTCAGCAAAGCTGGGTCAATTTGACAAAGAGAAGGTCAAGGCTAGAAGTGGATGCAGCTGATGGGGGATAGAGATGGAGATGGTGGGGAGTCAAGTCAGTATTTCTAATCTCAGCTTATTAGTCAGGGTCTGTCAGCTGGGCCACTTCCATGAATTTGAACCGCCTATAAAATCACATGCTACAAGCACTTAAAACGTGAGCTGGGAACATTGACCATGGTTCTAGGAAAACTCTAAACCTCCATTTATCTTACTTGTTCTGACCCTTTCTCTCTGAGTTTTCAGTCTTCATCTGGTTCTCTCACTGCCTCCAATTTTTATTTTGTGTGTTCACGATTTGATTATTTGCTTTGGATATAGTCTGACTTGAGCTGGTATCCCCCCCCTCAGATTTCATTCAAAATTTGATTTTTGCTACCATACATTAGGACTCTGGGTAAGCGATGCCTCTATATATACAACACACACACACACACACACACACACACACACGTTCATATACCACACACACACACGTTCATACACCACACACACCAGGAATGGAATGCTGACTAGTGAGAACAAAGAGCTAGTGAGATATATTCAGAATCCAAACTTCCCAGATATCTTAACTACCCCACCCCATGGTTTACATCAGGCTATACATTACAAGGAAATTACATGCATATGGAATTTAGTTGTATCATCTAAAAGACAAGGCCTCTAAGGCCTTTGCAGGAAGCATAAGAGAAAACTGAGAGTCAAGCCCTAGCTTGCTTATAAATATGTGACATATAACACTTCCACTCACAACCAAGTGACTAGTTAGCTCTGTCCAACTCAAAGGGGCGTGGCAATGTGGAAGAGCATATCTCTGCTGTGGTGGGTTTAAGACTCTAGGTCAAGGTCATAGGCTCCCATCGTATATGGCCCAGCTACTCTGACATAGAGATTTTCCAAAGGCAACAGACAATACCTCTAAGAAGGAGCTGCAATCTTCCAGAAATGGCTCAGAGCTCACAAATACCCTAGCATGTGAATGGCCCCAAAAAGCTTATCACCAACAGGACAAAATCACCTCTGACAGTGCAACAGGAAATGCTCATATAGTTTATTTGAGACATAATAGGCGGTGGGAAGAGGAGCCTATGTGTAGCTACCAGGCCATATAAGGACTGAAAATGGACCCTCATTTCATGATTCTCATATTCTACTTCACCTAGTACACTGGGCCAAAAGAGGACAAAAATAAGTTGCTTAAATTGCTCTTTCTGATGCAGCAAAACAGATGCTAGTTGCAAACTAAACACAGCTGAAGGGAGAGAAGGCATTTGCACCCAATAATCATGTGCCTACTACTGGTTTGCTGCCTGGTCAACTCACTCAAACTCAGCAGTCAAGTTGTATTCTCCATGCTCCCAATTAAGCTGAAGAATCTTGGTTTCTTCCACAGGTTCTGAGTGCTATTAAGCCTGGTGAATTTCTTGGGGTTCCTCCTTGCAAAATGAGTCTAGTTTGAAGGAGAAAGAAAAGAGGGTTGGAGCAGACCCACCTGCAGCCTACGGCTACCACAGCTTGGTCATAGATTATGCAGGAGTCCTCCTCCAAGCCTTGGAGTAAATCTTGCAGGTTACTGCCTTCATAATCTGAACAAATTTGGCTTTGCAAAGCATTAAAGGGCCCAGGAGATGTGGAGAGGAAAGGAAGAAAAATGGAATGGTTTCCAGGTAGCAGTTCAGTTTTTCTTTAGGCCGAGAGTTCAGCCATCTCTGTGTTTTCCACAGATACACTAGGGAACATTTTTCAGGGGGTAACCTCCACTTTGCCTTACTGATTGGCTATCTAGAAAAATAAATGTCTCAATAGGCAACACCCAACTCATCTAGATGATTCCATGTGTAGCTTCTCTTGGGGAAGCCACTTTTATAAAGCAGGGGGGAAATTCTCAAATGCTGGGCCGTTGAGTAGTATTTGTGGAAGCTAGAGACTCCTGTGCTCTCTTTCCCCACTTCCCCCTGCCCTATCCCTATCTCCAACATGTGGAAGATCCTCAATCTTTTGGAGGCCCAGCTGGGTCCAAAGCCTGAGGGTTAAGCTATGTCTAACTTATGGGGTGGGCTTATCAGATGTCTATTAAGAAGTATCACCCATTCTAGAGGAATACAGGAGCCACAAACAACGAGCCTAACCCTATAAGAAAATCTTAGTGGTCAGAGGAGGCTCTGAGCTCATCTTAGGGCTGACCATGCAATTTTATTTCCCATCCAGCCTTCCTGAACTCCTATCAGTTTGATAATATGAATAAGAATCATTTGTTGACCAAGTTATGTGTCAGTCACTGTACCAGGTGCATTATTATGTATGAATACGAGCTAGTTCTTAATAACACAACAAGCATGCAATTAAAGATTGTCAAGAAGACAAAGTTGGGTATTTATGAACTAAAATGAGCAGTTTATGGAGTTCCCTAGGGACTTTAGTCCAGTAGATCACCAAGAAATCTGGCTACCACCACCTACACTGGGGAAGGTGGGTGAGGCTCAGATGGTGTCTGTGATTTACAGAGAACCGGTGGATACGAAAAGTTCCTGAAACTCTGGAGAGGAGCGTGTGATCAATCTGGCCTCGTTGTTGTCTGGAGTGGGTCATAATTTTCAATTGCTAATCTTGAATTCATTAAGAGATCTTCAGACTCGTACTTGCTAATCATTTGTGTTTAACTCATGCGCTGGTACATTCTGGTTGTTATGTTCTCACAAGGCCTTACCTCCCAGTCCTCATGTCACCTAAAAGTGGGACCATGTCAGACAGATGCTCTTGTCCCCATTTCAGGGCCTGGGCTCCAGTGATAAAGGAACCCTAATGATACAAACCTGTGTAAACAACCAGGTGATCTGGTTAGACAAGAAGAGAAGTTGCTTGAACCAAAATGGGAACCAATTTTGGCCATTAGAATTGTGAGTAAAGAGGCTCTGATGTCAAGACCCACAGCCCCACCAGGCAGCACATGCTCACTGAATCATGGAATGAATGCTAGTGGTGTGAAAGCAAAACCTTTTGTGGAGCGCACAACCATTACCTGCAGAAAAGGAAAGATCACACATAGAATAGACCTGGACAAATGCCCCCTCGCGCCTCCATCTCACTTTCCACTTGTTGCCATGCTGTTCTCCTTCCCTCCACCCCCTTTACTCAGTGCCATCTGGTCTCCTTCCCCACTTTTTGGGCCAAATAGCGTCCTCACAAATCCTGCCAGCCACCTCCTACTGCCAAACACACTGGTCTCTCTCCGTCCTTGCTATGGGTTGAATTATGTCCTTGTAAAAGACATATTGAAGTCCTCACCTCCAGTATCTCAGAATGTGACCTGACATGCAGACATCATCAGTTAAGATGAGGTCATAATGGAGTAGGGTGGGCCTTTAATCCAATTTGACTGTGGCCATGTAAGGGAACATGTGAAGACACAGAGACACACAGGGAGAAGTCACTCATGTGAAGAGATTTGAGTTATGCTGTACCAGCCAAGGAATGCCTGGGGCCAGCAGAAGCTGGGAAGAGGCAGAGGAGAATCCACTCCTAGAGCTTCAGAGGGTGCATGACCTTGCCAACACCTTGATTTTGGACTTCTAGCTTCCAGACCTGTGAGAGAATGAATCTGTGTTTTAAGCCACCTACCTTGTGCTGCTTTATCCTGGCTGCTTGGAACCAGGCACAGCCCTCCTCGTGCATTTTCAACCTGTTCCACTTACCTCTTCTCTGTCTCAAAACTCTCCCTCACCCTGATTGCCTTAACCCAGCATTAACCTTACTTCTTCACTGCTCTGCTCTTTTCTCCTCTCTCCTTGGTGTCCCTAGATGTGCATGCAGGTTCTCGGTAGTTTTCCCTTTGCATTTTGCTCGTTCTGTGATAAGACTCTCTTTAGGTTTTGGCTCGCACACTCATGGAGATCACTCTCCAGTTGGGATCATTCACTTATTGAGCACCTACTCTGTGTTAAGCATAGAGTTAGACGCTACAGATATGGGAGAAAGCAGCACAGCTATGGCACTAGTGAACTACTGGGTCTTAATTTCCTGTCCTCCAGCTCCATTTACCTACCTCTCTATCCGGCACCTCAACCCTAATTCATCAGCCTCCCCAGACTGTTCCTCCACTTGGTTTACTATTTTGGTTAATCACTCCATCAGTCTTCTATTTCCCCAGGCTGGTGACCTCGGCTTCTCTTTGATTGTTCCTTTTCCCCTAAGGATCAATCCATTATCATGTCCTTTGGATGCTTCCATTATCTTGTTCCTTCACAACCACACTTGTTTAAACCCACATTAATTCTCATCTGAAATAGTCTGGCAACCTCCTCTCCAGTCTCTCTACCTCTCGCCTCTCTCCCTTCTGAGTCATCTTATGAGAATAATTCCTTTTTCTCAAGCACAGCTGTGATTAAACATTTTTTTAACCAAACTCTCAATGTCTCCCCACTGACTGACAAATTAAGTATAAATTACTCACCCCTACATCAAAGGTCTTTTATGACAAAGCCCTGATCTACCTTATCTTCCAACTCCTCCCCATTGCACCTTACACATCAATCAAATTGAGTTGACTTCTGGTACTTCTCCATCTTCAGACTTCTGCATATGTTATTCTCTCTACCTAATAAGTCTGGATTGCTTTCTTTCCCACTCTTCCAACCCCACCTGATAAAATCTTACCCATCATTCTCGAAGGGCTATCTTGAACATTACCCCCTTCACATGGCCCTTCCACCAGGTGGGGGATCCTTTCTCTCTTTGGTCTCCCATTACATGGTTTGTACCTCTCTTGATCGTATTTGTACCATTTGTATCTTTGTCTTGTCCCCCAGCTGGACTATGTCCTACCTATTATGGCAGATTAAATCCCCGGATATATGAAGAATGCACCAGAAATGGATGGTGTGGGTTTCATTCCAACTTTATTGACTTGGTAATGTGCTAGGAGTGACAACTCCCTGGCATACAATGATATTTCTAAAAGCTCTTCATTAAAACACAGAAAAAGAACTTGACATGGATTAGAGATGCCACAGTGACCAGTTCTTTGAGATTTAGTGGGATCTGAAAGGAAAGGAAAATGAAATTAAAAACAAAATGTGTGTCCAATAAGAGACTGACATCTTCACAGCATAAAATTATAAAAACAGCAATCAATATTCATATATCATTTACTATGTGCCAGACATTGTTCTAAATGTTCCATATCTGTTAATTCATTTAGTCCTCACAAAACCCCTTTTTCTGATGGGGAAACAGCACAAAACAGTTAAGCATCTTGCCCAAGATCACAGTTACATAGTAATGGAACTGAATCCAAGCAGATTGGCTTCCCAATGCCTGCTCCCAACCACAGTGCTATCTAGCCTGCCTCTCACTGTGCTATAGTGAGCAGAGCCCCCAGGACACACCCATCTTTTGACATGCATGATTCCGTCTAATAAGCCACCCCTACACGTAAACCAGTGTCCCTGGAGTCTCAAAGGAGCCATGTTTCACAGCAAGAGCCTTGAAAGTTCACCCCTCAAGCATGGGGCTGCTGCATAAGCCTCTCTAAACATAGAAATGGTGCCACAATCCCTGACCAGAGAATGGATGACAGCAGGAATGGCCACTCAGGAAGTAGTGAAGGGTGCGGGGCTTAGATGCTCTGATGAAACGAGCCTCACTGTGTGTTGAGGTTAAAGTGGCTGTCTTGGCTGCTCTCTTTCCCCCAGATGCCATCTGGCCTTCCCCATTCCAGTCACTGCCCAGGGGTGTGAGGATAGCTATGTGGCATTGTGTTGAAGGCATACCCCCAGTTCTCCACATCCACTCCAGTTTCCCATTCATTGTCTCTTCTACTTAAAAAGTGCCATGCTAAATGATGAACTGTGGTAGGGCAGAGTGTACAGATGCCATGGCTGGGAGGGCAGGTGGGCAGTAGGAAACCCATCTGCTCTACTCGACCTTGGGGGTCCTATAGGCTAGCATGGGTTGAGCTCCTATTTTGTGCCAGGCATGGTTCTATGCACTATTTATATATTAACTCATTAATCTTCATAAAAACTGCTCGCCGATGGTCTTCTTTTTTTAATTTTCATTTTACATATGAGAAACCTGAGGCACAGAAAAGTATGGTAATTTTATCAGGTCATACAGCTAGTTAGTGAAAAAGCCAGGATTTGAATTCATCCATATCCCTTGCTTTTAACCACTAACCTTCACTGAATGCCCCCCTCCAAAAGGATGCTGTCGCGGATATGTGAAGTAACCTTTTAGAGTACGTTAGAATCAGTGTTCAAGCTTTCCAAAGTACCAGAAGCTGAGCACCACCTCCAGAACTTCCGATTTCCTTGTTCCAGAGTGGAACCTGTAAGTGTCTATAGATAAAGTAGCTCCCCCCATGGATTCTAATGCTTTAGATTTAGGGTGGTTTGGGCATCCACATAAAATGCATTCATTCTGTCTTGGCCATCCAGTCGTCAAACACCGTATGTGCCAACATATAAGAAAAGGCCCAAATACACAGCTGAAAGGAATCCCACTGAGTTTTGACCAACTTGGATATATGAGCTTTTAGAAATATAAATAATATAATCAAAACAACTACTCATATTTAATTCTTTAGTCACACATATACATTTAAAATCATGCATTATGCAGAGTAGCAAATTAGTTTAGAAACATTGCTTTTTCCATTCTCATCTTCCACAAGACTTCTCAGTTTGACTTCTCACACGCATCCAGCACATTCTTGTCTTCACATCCCCGAAGCCTCATTCGGGGCCATTTGCACAGGTCCCTGGCCCATATCACCTGCACGGCTCTTCACTGATCTAAATACACTGGTTTTTCAATGCTGGTATCATGTGGTTGCTGGAAATTTTATCCCATGCCACAAAAAATACATTTGCATAACATCAAGGCAGTTGGTCGTCTTTGTGTGTTGTGGGCAGGGCCGGCCGTCTGCTGGTAGGCGAGGCTTCCCCTTTGCTTCATTCTGATTGATCTACACTTTGTTCTGAGCAGTTTTTAGATATTGCAAATATTATTCCTGCCTGTGAGCATATTCTTGTTATTTATAACCTACCAGCCCCTTGCCACATTGTCCCTTAAAGTGAGGTTCAAAAAAAGCTTATTTACAATGATGACCACACTTGGAATTTTAAGGTTACCCACTCAGCAATAATAAATGGAGCTAGGACTAATAAATAACAGCTAAATAATAATGGAGCTGAAATTGTGAGATTATCCACTCAGCAATTTAATGGAGCTTAAGCTCCATTACATTTCTTTTTTTTTATTTTTTTAAAGATTTTTTTATTTATTCATTCGAGACACAGAGATACAGAGAGAGAGAATATGAGCAGAGGGAGAGCAGAGGAAAGGGGGGAAGCAGGCTCCCCGCTGAGCAGGGAGCCCCATTCGGGGCTCAATCCCAGGACCCTGGGATCATGACCTGAGCCGAAGGCAGATGCTTAACCATCTGAGCCACCCGGGCACCCCTCCGTTACATTTCTTTGTCTCCTGTTTCTCCACTGAGTCCACCAGAGGTGACTCACTGATATTGGTTGGGGTGGTTTCTTCCGTGTTTGGGGTTCCAAATATGGTATCCGAAGGACGTATCCTCTAATGTGAGGCACTTTGTAAGGGTTCCATTAGAAGGTAATGAAGTCTTTTCCGTAAGACAATTCAGAGCGGAGAGGATCTCACTTTCATCCAGGCATAGACAGTTTTTCACCAAACACCAAACACCAAACAATAAGGTCCTGCTGCTTCTATCTCTACGCTCACTGGCCCATCATGCCTGGGGCCGCGGGACTTTCTGTCCCCTCTTTCATTATCCTCAGACTCTGAAGCGACAGAGGCAGGAGAGTTCTCCCCCTCCTCCCACATGGCCCCATCATGCCCTCTCCCAAGCAGGTGTCCGCCTCCCCCAACCCCCAGCCCTGGGGCCCCGGGGCCTCTGTGAGGCAGCTCTGCAGCTTTTGGAAGTCACTGGTGTTTGCACAGGGATGACAGAGTCCTCCATGAGCTGCTTATTCTAAGTTGGGGATTGTTCCTCCTCGTCAATTGATACTGGAAATAATTACTTCTTAGAA